CCATGTAATGCCCTGTAATTATCATTCACCAGAGGGTTACAGCATATAGAACATAAGTGAACAAAAGCTGATAACTTGTCTGATTTTTGTCATAAATGGTGCTTGAAAGAATAGATAAAAGAGGCTAATTAAATGGTTTATACAGGACGAAAAGATGAAGATTCTCTGGATTATGAGATATGGACAGCTGGTCTGATGCAGAGGTGAAAGGAACAGCTCTATGAGGAGGGGGTGGGGGTGAGGAGGGGGAGGGGGAGCACAAGGTACCAGGGCCTGAGATTAACATTACCCTGAGACTAATTGTGATCTAAACACACGATTAGAGTGATCTTAGTATGAGAGTTTGGGGAAAGGAGTGTTTTATTGAGTCCTGGGGCTAAAGGAGCTTGAGTAGGGACGATGGAGCTGTTTATGGGAGATATGAAGAGGGGGAAGATTAAGGGCTGTATTTCCTCAAACATTGACTGAAATAATAAACTATCAATGAATTTACATTAAGAAATCACTTCACATCACTGAACAAATTACAGAAATTCTAACTCCAGAGCATAATCTGGATTTTTCTGCAAACCAATCCAAACATGTTGTCCCATAGGGGACCGATTTACACAGGATAAACTTTTTTTCAGCTAAAAAAATTCTTCTAGTTAAAAAATGTTCTTGACACTAAGGCCTGCTAGAGCCTAAGTACCTGGAAGGGAAGGGAAGGATGGGAGAGGAGGGGCCAATGGCCTGACTTGGTTCTGCCTCGATCTGTCTTGACATTTATCATCACACACTGATCAGACTATTAGCCTCACTTCTCACCAATTGTCCTAACATGTGGTCCTCTCCAGGGGTTCGGCTCGCCATGAATTATAGGTGTTGTTGGTGGGAAGCCTCAAAATTTGGACTTCTGTCCATATAAATTATAAGAAAACATCATACTGAACTGCAGCTACAAAAATAATGTACTATATCTTTGTGTAAAATCCTCAATGTCCAGTAGATATAGAAATGAAACATACATGTATATACAGTAATATACAGCATTTGATATGGCACCCTAACTAGCTAACATATAAGCCACTCTAAAGCGCTTTACAGTACATAGATATACAATTAGCATTTACATTAATCAGTTCAATTTTGAGGAATTCGCAGGAGCTGCCTTATCAGGAGCTAACTACTAGTCCTATGCCACCTGAC